GTAGGGGTGACAGAGCACTGGAACAAGTTGCCCAGAGAGGTTGTGGAGTCTCCTTCTAAGGAGGTATTCAAGACACGTGTGGACATCTATTCCGTGTGAAGTGTTGGAGGGTGCCTGCTTTGTCTCATGTCCAGATGCCCGTGCTACAGTGCTGTAAAGAAAGTGCATTTCTCACAGTGCCATGCTCTGTATGCTCCATTCTTGCAAAGCAGGGTGCTTGGTGCTCACCAGCTGTGACTTGCGTTGGTAGAACTAAACAGCAAATCTTTGCCCCTGCCGCGTGCACACAGCCAACCTGATGGCACCATCCCTCCTCATCTGCTGCTGGCTCACTGGATGATCAGCTCGTGACTGCAAGGGGAGGAGAGCATGGTGCCTGCATATGTGGCAGGCAGGGGACTGTGGCTTGGCTATGCCCAGGCCCAGGGGTTGTCAGTTACAGAGCACGTGACTTTACAACTTGGTGCTAATTTCCGTAATTTATTATCAGCAGAAGTTGGGCAAAGGTAAAAATGGGAGGAGTCCCTAATGGAAAGTGTGTACTGTGGACTGCGGTGTCAGAGTTGTCAATTCTGATCACAGGATGTGCCATGTGTCCAATGAAACTGTTATCAGCTCTCCCTTACCTGGCTACTCCAGTCAGCTGGAGTTGGGAAGGTTGTAGCCTGGGGCAGGAGGAAGGAAACATGCTGTGCTTCATGCTGCAGTGGGGATGCAAATCCCCTGAGGCACCACTCCTTGTGCAATGCTGAGGAGCAGCCCCTTCACCTGAAACCTGCTGAACTGGCTAGTTTCTGGAGTGATGGAGTGTATTTGGATCTTGTTTTAGCAGAAGCTATAGCCTCGAAATGCTCCCATCCTTCCCTCTCATCTCTGAAATCTGTGGTCGGAGACCTGTCAAACTGGTGTGGACTGGTGGTCATAGGGCAGAAAAGACAACGAGCATTGCTAAAGGCAGGACACTTTCCCTTGCTGTTTAAGGATTGAAATGCATAGCTGTGGGTGCAGTTGACCCTGTGTGGTTTTTGGAGGGGATGGGGATGGTTGTTATGTGAGAAAGGTAGCAGCTAAGGACGTGTGGGCTGGGAGGATGCCAGCAAAGAGCTTCAGCCTCAGCTGTGTTCTTCTAACTGTCTTTCACATCACTGCCTTACCATGACACTGTGCAGTTCAGTCATCCTAAACCTGCCTTGTGTCATTTGAAGGGGTGCAAAGGTAAGAGCCTCTGTGCGCATTTGAGCTCTGACTGCCTGCAGGGTGCCTGCTGCATTGGCTCTACAGCCCTGGTCCATGGCAGGGAGGGCTCTGGGTGCTTTGTGAGCACTGTGCTGTCTGTCTGCCCTGCTGCTGACATGTTTGGCCCTTCTGCAGCAGATGAGAGCCCAAGGGAGCCTCGACATGGTATTTTCTGTTTAGGTTGTTAGCAAGGAGAATGGTGATTTGCCTTGTTTGCAGTGTTTCATACGAGGGCTATTTTCTGGAAGTGATGTGTTTGGAGGTAGCTGAGGGAAATGCAGTGTCTTGAAAAAGATGGAGGAAATAGACAACCTAAAGGTTCCCCAGCTTTTTAACCTCTACTGCAGGAGCATGTCTGCCATTATTTGTTAGAGTTTATGGACAAACACCTCTGTAGATCCTCTGATGTCTGACTGCTGTCAAAAACTGAAGTTGCTGTGTTCTGTTTCTATCAATCACTATCTTTTACTGTGTGGTTAGAGCCTGGAATCAGGTTAAGAACTGTCTCACCTCTGAAACTGTGCTTCAGACTGGGCTCCAAAGCCCCTTCACATGCTGTCTGCGGGTAGTGGGACATTTGAGTAAGGTTTTACCTTGAGAGAGACAGGAGAGGTAATGGGAAACTCAGACTTTCTTGCTGTCACCTCTGCTGCTTGCAGAAGTGACTTTCTGGATGAAGTGCAGTTTGAGAGATCTGGTAAAGGATAAGGTGTGCTTTCTAGCTAATAACAATACCTCAGGATAGAAGCTTTAAGGATGTAGTTACAGCATAAATATGGGACAATGCAGCTGTAAAAGCACCTTATTGCAAGGGGGAGGGAGGAAGTAAGTCGCACGGTGCTTTGCCTCGCTGGGAGGTTGAAGGTCACCGTCTAGAGAGCTGCTCTGAGCATGCAGGCAGCTACTCATAGGAATGGCTCCAGGGAAACAATTTCACTTCCTTCCCTTGGCTGTTGCAGAGTTCTTGTTGAGAGAAAAAGTGCAGTATTTTTGTGGTGTGTCCAAGTATTTTCATTGCTTAAATTTACGGGCTGCAAATAAGCTAAGCCAGACTTATGTTAATATCTGCTTCAAGTTATCCTCTGTTATTAGGAAAGCTTGGATGTGAATGGCTGACAAAGCAGCCTGTGAGCATTCCTGGAACAACAGCTGCTACATTGATATAAGGAACAAGCAGAATATTAATCCATGGAGCCTTGTCTGCTTTTTGTGATCAGTAACGGGCACAGCTGTAGAGAATAATGGTGTAGACTCCTCATGAGGCAGAAGTTCTCAACCTCTGAAAATGAAACAATTTAAGAGGAAATGTATTATAACTGTTTTGCTCCTGATATGCTCTACCAGCACAAGGGGGTGGCTGAGCTAGTGCTATGCACTGTTCTATTTCAATTTAGGCCTGAATAGACTGGGGTTTAACAGAACATCAGAAAATACACAGCCTAAGCACTAGAGAAGACTTGACTTCAGAATTCAGTAGGGTTTATTCTACAAATCTTAGATCAATGCCAATGTACAAGTTTTATGAATTCTCATTAAAAATACAAGTCAGTATAAAGATTCCAATAGTAATATAATGCATGATGATTCTGTTTCAAAACTTAAGGAATGAATCTAGGATTTGGACCATGCTACAGAGAAGGGGAGCGCTATGTAGAAGAAAGGATATTCAGTTTACCTCCCTTAGTTCAGGAGGGGCCTGTGCCTTATTGCCACAATACCTGAAAAAGCAGTATGAGTGCATAGCAGCCTTGCCTGTGCAGTCTCTAGGCAAAACTGTTGAATTCACTATCTTCCTCCTCTCCTCCCACCCCCACAGTTCTAGTAATTAAGATACATTTTGATTGCCTGACATCATGCCAATAACTTAAAGCTATAGCAATACTATCCCCCATCGCGACTGCAAACAGCCTTCTGAACTGTAACGTCATCTTGTGATGCACTGAAACTTCCTGCACTGTGCTCAGCGTTTTGTTCAGTGTTCCAGGAACGCTAAATAGTGATTCAGTTCAAAGGTGAATTATTTCTGAATATAGAACTGTCTGATTTTAAAATGAAATAATTATTGCAAAGCCTCAGTGCAGCTGAATACTCACATCTGGTCGTAGCTTCAGGCAAAGTTAGAACGCAAATCGGATATTTTTTGTATTCTTCTGATAATGATGAAAGCAATGATAGCTTTCACAATATAGCTGAAATTTGGCCACAATATTTCTAGATCAAATACTTTGAAATGGGAGGGAGGGGAACAAAACTACCCTTTCTTTCTGTGAACTGCCTGCACTTTTAAGAGTATCAGGCTTAATAAAGCCCTACTCTAAGCCTAGATTTTACACACACTATCTACAAGAGGTAACCTTGACGAGATGTGCACCTCTTCCCCTCATGCATCCATTTATTCCCAGTAACACTTTCACCGTGTCAAAAAAAGTGTGTCCCTCTTGCAGAGCCATTGCTTCTTGTAGCAAACCACATTACGTCACAGAGCAGGTATCATGCATCTATCTGCAGAAGCAGACCAGGAAACTGGGCTTAACAATACGCATACACTTCCAGACAGAATTTGGTGCAGACAGCGACATTTAACTGAAACTCAGCTTTTATCAAAATAGTAGCATAATACAAAAATCCAAGAACACCGGAAACAAGGAAGCTGCCGCCTTCCACGCACCGGTTAAAGAAAAGCCCCTCTTGCATAAATGGAGCAGCAGCACAGAACAAGCACAGACTTGGCTATACAAATACATCTGCAACAATCCTCCACTTGGCATCATACGGTAATGTTTTAACATCATACCAGTGATGGCAGAACCCAGTATTAAGTCATTATGCAAGCTAGTGGAGATTTCTTCTGTCTTACTCTGCTGTGCTTGCTTTAAATAAGTATTGTCATTCTGATTTGTCTTTGTAAATGCATCTTATACTCTAACAGTCACATTTAGTTAGAAGTAAAAAAAAAAAAAATTTCAGTAGCCTGTACTGAGCCTTAGTACAGTCAGGATGACAGCAAAATACAAGGATGTCATTAAACTGCATATATTATAGAAAACAGGTTCACTTTGCATTTGAGTCACGTTTAATACAAGACAGGTTGGTTTGAACGGTGAACTGGTTCTATTTGGAACAAAGTATGGCACAGCTTCCCAATATTTATGCACGTTTTGTAATTAACATTTTTTCTTTGCCATGATTATCGATTCGCCAGAAACGGTGTAACAGTCAAATGGGGAGAGTGAAGGAAAACAGATTTAGGAGAAGAAATTCAAAACAAGAAGTCTAATGATTGAAAATAAGTGACTTTTGTAAGAAACTTTATTTAATTTCATTTTAAAAAAAAGTATTCTTTCCTCAGAACAAATGCCACCTTAAAAAAAAATAAAAAAAAAATTGCAGTAGCACACACTTGCACTCAGAGGAAAACATGCAAAACAGATGGCTGAAAAAGTTTTGCATAAAAATCCAAGATCTCAGGTGAGAGTTTGCCCCCATGTGCCTCTAGGGGCCCCAGATCATGAACAGCTTTCAGTGCAATGTTTCTTGCTTCCAATTGAGGGGGGAAACATGGCAGTAGCTCATCTGTGGACAGCTACGCTCTCCTGGATGGTTGAAGTAAAACCAGTTTCAGCTCTGTTTTAAAATAGCACTGTTAAATGGTTGCGGAAGATACAAACAATTCAACAAAAATGTCAGAATCCAGTGAAAACATTTTGATTTCTACCCTGTGCCATACATTTCTTTAAAAAAAAAAAAAATTAGACAAAAACAGATTTTATTAATACGCCCTCTTTAAATTTTTTATTTCTGAAAGCAGCTCTTAATGCAAATCAAAAGCAGTTCCTGAGTAACTGCAGTAAACAGTGTCTTTTAAATAGTTTTGCGCCTCAGCTCTTCTGTTTTGGTTCGCTCTTGTTCTTCTCCCTAGTTTTCAAGTTTAATCTCAGTTCTTTTTTTTTTTCTTTTTCCAAAAAATGTGCAAGTTCAGTTAGCATCTTTTCCAGAAGTCCGTAGGTTGCAGGTCTTCCTGCAACAACTATAAGATCTGCACATGTGCTAGGTTGTACTCCTATCCCTATTGCAGATTTTTGTTCTCAAACCTGTACAGCATGCACTCTCACGTCTTCTTCAGCATACGCCGGGACTGCCACGTGTGGAACTTATTGTAGGCTGTCTGCAGCATCTCTTCTATATGACTTATCAACTGAAAGATTAAGAGGGAAAAGGAAGTAAATGTCACAGCTACTGGAGAATACATTACCCTCCCTTTGATCAAACACACTGTTGGATTACTCCCTTCATTCACTAGAAGTGATTTCACTAAGATCAAGGGGGTGTGCCAGATTAACAGAGAAAGGACTTTGAAGCTCTACTGTGAAGTCTGTGTTGAGGGGGTAATTCACAGTGACTAAGCTGTGAAGGTTCAGGGAAATAGCACTTGGTTGTGCTGTTTTCCACTGTTTAGGCTATGACCATTTCAAATCTGGAATGGTGGGAGACTGTTTCGAAGTAGCTGAAGTCCTAAGTCATGATAGAAGTAGAAAATGAAACATGACTTCTGCCTTCTGCTGGGTAATCTATTATTGAGCAGTGTAGAAAAGGAAAGTCAGAGAATAGTTAATTATGTAACTAATTTCCCTCTGCCAGTTTCCTAGTAAACAAATTTAAGATGACCCAGAATAACAAAGCCACCGTCCTTTGATAATTATAATTCACATTAGTAACATGCACCATTGTAATTAGAGTATTTTTCCCTTACATTTGTGCTTAAATACTGTCTCCGAATCTTTTCTTGGAATGGGCAGAGCTTTGTAAGCTGAAATCTTTCCAAGTTGCTCCTCATTTTCACAACCTGAAAGAAAGGAACCAATTTTGTAATCATTTGTACAAAACACTTTGTAAGTAATTCTGGGGCATGCTTGAAATATGTATGGTTCAAGGAAGAAAAATTCCTAAGTCATCTGTCTCTAACTTAAAAATTAAGTCCATGTTTGTTTTTGAGGCAAGTGCAATGTGCCTGAAAATGCAGTGTAGCAATGTCATCATTATTTGTCAGCAAGTAAAACAGATAAGATGTTAACAAAAACACCCTTTTTGCTTCAAGCAAAGACTATACTGTGAGTTTTCTGGTCACATTTTGCAGCAGAAAAATCTAAGATGAAGGCACTCTGTTCTTAGAAACAGTACAGATTTTGAAGCTGAGTAACTTTACAATGGATGGAAGGATAAGGAAGATTTCCTGTAAGCATTACTGTGGCAGTTATGTCTTAGAGTAGAAGAAGGGGGGGCGGTAGTTTGTATTTTAAACTGGCAGTGTTAAATCTGTGGCTGGCATACAGCTGACAATTATGTTAGAAACTAGTGAACAGCCAACTCTCCTACTGGGGGTTAAGAGGTACGCAGATGATTGTAGCAAGTAACACCAGCAGAACTGCTGATAAATGTAATGTTTTATATTGTTTTGTGACCTTTAGCTCTAAGGATGAGTAAGTGCTCACTTAACACCTGTGCGTTAGCTCTAGGTTTCAAGTTAATGACAGTCATCTTAAACCATATCTGGCCATATCATAACCAGAGTCACACGAGGAGACCTTACCTTTTCTTCTAGGAATGGTGTGTTAACAGGAAAGCAGGACCAGAAGTGTCTTAGCAGTTCCCCTACTGCCACATACAAATGTTTTAATTCAGACTGAATGTCATTTGGCACCATCTCTGCAAAAGGAAAAGAAGGTTTTTCTGTATCACTCAAAACTATGATACATAAAGTGAGAAGGTAAGGCTAATGGAGGAGCAATGTAATACACATTTCTGATTAGAATCACAGAAAGACTGGCTGGGAGGGAACTCTTGAGGTGCTTCACACCTGAAGGAGGTGTGCCAGCAGTACTGGATCAGGTCAGCTGCTTATTTATGGCTAGCATGTGTGGAGGATTGTATATTACTCAGGCAGATGTATGCCAGGCAAAGGATGGACATCATGCTTTAATCCAGAACTAGTAAATGGGGCAGCACGGACAGTTCTATTCAAAGTCTAATATTAAATGGGCTGTACAGCACATAATGCAAGCTAGTGTAATTTTTTTCCCTCTCTCACTGGCAATGAGAAAACAATAATGACACTTGTCAGATACAACACATAAAGGAATAAGGAACTATCTTTCAAACAGTGTCTTAAAGTAAAAATGGTAACATGGTTCAAAAACAGGGAGGGTACCACAACCCTAAAAAAAGAAACAACAAAAAAACCCAACCCACAGTCATCAAGAATGACAGAAGCAGTCACCTCAACAGTCCAAAGGGAACTCTAGGATAAGGCTGTTAAAAGAAAAGGTGGTCTGGGTTGAAGGGGAATGTCAGCTGGGGAGGGTAAGAAAGCTTTGTTACTGCTTGATGACTCCACTTATTACCACTGGGAATGCATACTTTTTCAGCTGTCTGAATAGTCTTTGCTATCCTTCAGATCAAGTACAAAACAGGGAAACTATTCTAAACCCTGCCTTGTGAGAGCAGAAATTCATCTACTGTGAGATGAAAGGGAAAGGAACTCAAGGTGGCATAAATGTGACAGTGGGGGATGGAGTAGGCAGGTGGAGATGAGAGGAGGATGGGTTGCTTGTTTGTCCTTGCACTCCACAGGTAGGTCATCCTTTCAGCAAGCTGTGGATTCTAATTCAGGCTGCAGAAGTTCCACTAGTTCAAAACTCCTATCTACAGTACACTTCCTTAGAGTTCTCTCAAAGTATGGCATTATTAAAATATAGAGAAAAACAAAATAAAAATGCTGTACACACAAAACCCATCAACTGTATGAGGACTCAGTACTGGGTGCATCCTTTCTCACTTGCTCTGTGAAGTTCTGTCACCTACTTGCCACAGCACAGTTTTAGCCAGCGCCGCCTCTTAGTTGGGCTGCTTTGCTTTTTTTGCTGTTTTTGCTTTGCTTTTGTTTCTTTAACCAGTGTTATTCCAGTTACAGCCCACCTTCTAAAATTTCATGTATCAGTGTAACATACTCTAAACGGGAGATAAAACAGCAAACTGCTCTGTAATGTAATAAGTGATTGAAGTATTACATATCTCAAATCCTTACGGTTTATGGCTTGCTGTGTTCCACCCTGCATAAGTGCTCCTCCAGGTGACAGGACTGCAATTGTGCTAGTAGCATCACCACTTGAAAGAACCTGAAAGCAAAGAGGGAACAAATTTTTGCATTAAAATGCCTTAAAAATAAATCACAGGTTAGCTCTAACTGTGGAGATGCAACTGGGGACATACAATAGAAATCCTGATGAAGAGCTCACTGTACTGCAGAATTAAATGCAAGCATTCACTCATTTTTCAGAGAAAGCTCCCCAATTAATGAACACATCTTTACCTAGTATGTGAACTGGCTGTGCAAAATGAGATGAAGTTGATCGCTACAATACAGATTGTGGCAACTCAGCCACGATTGTGGCTGCTTCTCCTTGGGCCAAATGTGGGTTTATGAAGAGGGGAAGTTCAGTTACTGGCTGGTGAGGATCAGCTGGTGGCTCTGCTGCCCTCCAGTTGCCAGGAAAGAGTGCAGCCCAAGGAAAAGCAGGTCCTGCACTTAAATGCCTTCTGGGACAACGACCCATTTACTGCATACAATGACTTAAGGCCATTACCTCCTAAAGTTCAGAGGGTGGGATCAGTAATATTTGCCAGTACTTCAAGTCAGCTATCCTGTATTTTATTTTATTACTTTATGCTTTCACCATTACTTCAAAAGAACATGGTAACAGTAGAATATAACTGAATATCGGAAATGCTGCTTTTTTCAGTTCTTTCCTTTTTTTCATGTTTAGATCTTAAACACAACATTTGAAAAGGTACCCCACCTGAAGTTGTAAAATAAGCTTGACATTAAACTATTTGAGATAACAAAGTTTATCGTGAACAATTTAAACTCCAGTAGTCAAGAGACAAAAAACTGTATAGAAAGAAGATGCTAACATCAAGAAAGGAACTTCTGGAAAATTCTTACATACCTGAGTTAGATTGGGTACATATGCTTCCATTTCTTGCCTAATACTATGAAAAGAATTAATTATATCCTGACTGGTTGCATATTGCTGTGATTGAATTGGAGTTGGACCATGATAATACCTGTGAGGTAAGGAGAGAAGTATATTGATAAGAGTGTTCATAAAATGGACGCCAAAATCAGTGGACAGTAGAAATGTTTCCAGTTTGGGGTGCTTTGCAACTGCTGACATTGCTACCTAAATCCTATTTACTGACGTAAAACATAAAATGCAGTGCCACATGGCAAGAGGGAAGGGTACGGCAGCAATAGAGGCTGCAATTTCTATCACTGAATCTGCAAGCAAGCTCATGAAAAGCTCTGCCATCCGCTGTGCTCAATTTTGGAAACAGCGTTGTAGCAAAGGACTTCACACCAATTTGAACCTCAGACAAAGGAAGTAATGTGTATGTTTTAATTGGTTGTCTTTCTTGTGGCATCTGTCCTTCTCTATGGTTCTCAAGCTTAATGGTCTAGAAAACAAGAGGACAATTACTAGAACAGTAACAGACCAGTGACCAGCTCAAACTATTCCCATGCTGCTTGTTTTGCTTGGAACTGTAAATGTACACATCACATTCATTTCTCTACTATGAGCTGCAGCAAAGTGCTGAACTATGACAATCAGTCTCTTAAGACTTAAATAGAAATTACATGTCAAAGCCTTCCCAGCAGGTTTATAGAAACTCGCTGAAAAGCGAAATGAAATCAAAATACAAATTTAAATGGAAGTGCTTGGCTGAGTAGCACACTGGGAACTACATCTCCTGATTCTTAAGTCATAACAGACTTGCCCTATCAAATATACTGAAATAGCCAGCATTTACTGTGAACTTACCTGTCAGATTTCTTTAAATTTAGTGCAATAGTTTTAGTGCTATTATTCATTGCTAAATCTTCATATTCAATGGATTCCTGTAGTTTCACCTACAATAAGCCAAAAAAATTATAGACATTATTAATAACACAATTTGATGAGTTTGGTGTTATTTTTTTTTCTCACTTCAGATTTTTTTTGAGTGAAAGGTTTAGACATACCTTAATGAAACAAAATTACCTGGCACAGTTTGTGTCTGCCTTCCTGAGGGAGGTGTGACCAACACTGTTTAACGTGTACAGTTTTGTACATGTTAGTCTTGGCATTACTGCTTTTTCTGTAGATTGTCACCAAAACTTGCAGTCCCTGCTACTCCCAGGAAGTGTTCTGCTATACATACACCATTCTTTGTTTTCTCTACTTAAGTCGTTTACCTCTATGTAAACAGAAATAGTAATAACTTAATTGCTGGAGTCCAGGAGTATAGGACTGATGCAGCAGTAATTATCCAAGCTGTTTGGTGACAACAGAGCTAGAGCATTAGTGGTGAGAGGTAACAGGACAGCGTCAGTGGACTTCAAAGAATGAGAAACCTGCCTTTAGAGCCTCCTACTGTTATGCTCTTTTCTCATTCCTCTCATCATCATGTTTGTTCCAGGGCTGGTATGTTTATCCTTCTAACTAAAACTACCTTTCTTGTAAGTCAAAGCTGTTGCCTTCTTCAACATTTAACATGTGTTCTACACTCTTTTCTTAGCAATATATGAAGGCTTTGAGTCAACCTATTTCAACTGTCAATTCTAGCAAAGATTATTGAATCTCTGCAGCAATTACGGTATTTTCTCTCCACTTTGTGAGTTGCTCTGGTCGTTCCAAAACAGGCTGGTGCTCTATTTCAGTGCACTATGCATCACCATTCTTTGTTTAACCTTCCTCCAGTTTCTAACCTTGAGATGAAGGCTGCTATGTGTCAGTTCAATCATTCTCTATACATTTGATAGGTTAATATTGACTCTCAAACACCCTACTCCTTTCAAATGGATGTTTTCTACAACTGTTCAGGCAAACAGCAAAAATACAACTGCACAGTATGGAAAAAAATACTTATGTCTAATCAGAATTATGCTGGAAACTTCTGCTTTTAGGGGGCCCTTCTAAACAGATCAACAGCACAATACTTCAAGGTGTAGTATGTGTCTACTAACAGATGTTCTTATTCTCAAAGCTTCTCATTGGCCCTTAGTTATTTAGCTTAGAAGCATACAGAATAACAAGTATTGTTTTAGGTGCTTCTTAAAACACATAATAAACCTTCAGCAATGTTTTAAGAGACAACATCCAATTTCTTTCAACTAGAATGGTATCTAACTTTATACCTTTTTCATTGGTGGTTGAAAGAAATCTGAATCCCTGGAGTTTCCATCCGTACTGCTGGTCTCACTGTAATGGTCATTTTGTGCTTCTCTTAAAATAGAGAAACAGCATTAAGAAGAATTCACCTTACAGGAAATTTAAGACACAAGCTAGAGACAAAGTAAATATATGCTTCAAAAATGCTTATACTGTACACCAGCTTCCCCCCCTTGTGTCTTCTCTGGAAGAAGTTTATGTAGATAAATGGAACCAACACCTCAAATAATGCTTTGTCCAGGAGGAAACTAAGCAGCAGGGAGTTTCTCCCTTCCTCCAGAAATAGTGGCTTGCCAACAGTGCAAGTGGGACGTGGCAAAATCATGCAAATCAAATGATTTGCATATGTACTTACGCCTATCACACACTAGCAGGGCTATGGGAGCGCTGAGAATCTGCTGTTTCAGAATAAATATTACTTTTTTTTTTTTTCCTCTCAAAACTGAGGAGTAGAGACGTGTATTATCCAAAAGAGATCATCTGAGATCCACTGTTCCATTTGGAAAATACGAGAATGTTGTCAGAGAGCTCAGCTATACAGAAGAAAGTATTTGAGATCTCTCACATGTAAGGTCTGTAGGACCTGGATACAGTAGTAATCTATTTAGGTGGTTGTCTGTAAACTAGCTGTACAGCAGACCTCATATCAAACCCCATTTATCCCCACCCCCTTTTTTTTTTTTTTTTGAGTTTCACCTGTGGATTTTACTATAAACATATGTAACCAGACAAGACACTTTTTTTGGTTGTTGTCTTAATTTCAGTTGGGAAAGAAGTATTCAGAATGTCTGGTATGACACTGTTTTTAGTTCTAGGACAAAAACAATGTTGGTAACAGTGATGTATGTTTATAGTTGCTGCTAAGCAGTATTGTAGAGCCAAGGCCGTTCTCAGCAATGAGCCTAAGGAGCTGGGAGGAAACAATTAGGACAGCTGACTTAAACTGGCCCAAGGGATATTCCACACCTTATGACATCATGTGGAAGGAGAGCTGAAGAGGGTGGGAGTTCATCTGCCTCTCTTCTGCTGCTCAGGGGGCTAGGTGGGAATTGGTTTGGGGGTGGTGAGCAATTGCTTGTGTACCACTGGTTGTATACATTTATATGTATTTCTCATAACTCTTTCCCTCAACTCTATCTCAGTAAATAGTCCACAAGTTCTATTTTTTTTCCCCCTGGTCCTGTCTCCTATGCTACTGGGAAGGGGGAAAGTGAGCAAACAACTGTGTGTGTGGTGCTCAGCCACCTGCTGGGTTAAGCTACAGCAGTCAGTCAAGGACAGGATGCTACCCCAGATAAACCTTTAATTTGATCCACACAAGTTACGCTGATGTTTTTAACTTCCTCATTTGCCTTCTCCCATGCAACCTGCTATAGGAAGCCACAACAGATCCACTCCTGGAAGGTGGCAGGAGCCCCTGAATCAAATCTTCTCCTTGATGCAGCCTTCAGCAGGGATAGAGGAGAGAGCCAGAAACATCCTTTCCATTTTTTTCTTTTATGTTTGTAGAGTAGGAGAGCAACTCAGCTAAAAATAGCACCTGTCATCTCAGACAGATCTGAAGAACTTTATAAAAAGCAAAATAGAACCTAATAGTACTTTTATTTCCAGAACATAATAGTTCATTCATAAAAATTACAGGAAAGGGCTGGATGAGTAACAGCAGATGTATTTTCCTTCTGGAAATTCTTCAATTTGTTAAAAATACTTAGCTTTTAGGCAACATTGAAACTTACTGTTTTCTGAGGCCAGCTGCAAGGACCATGGCACTGTGATGATTAAAGCGTTTTATAATGGCAGCATTGCTACTTTCTCTAGCAGTTTTTGAGGCATTTGATGTAGAGGCCACAGGAGCAACACCATAGCCCTATAAAGAGAATAACACTGGTTACCTCCTCCTCCTGAACCTAGAAGACCATTCTGTTTTCCAGTGAGTCAGGAAGCCATACCATCTCCTCTGAGTTTTATTGGTACTGTATCATCATCTGAAGCATTTTCTTACCTTCCCCCGCCCCTGACTCCCAGGTGCTTTGGGGAAAAAACCTCCAGAGATTATTTTATTCTGCTAACTCATGGCAGTTCAGAGGTATCTTAAGAACAAATAAATCTCAAAAGTATATTTTATAGGACTATAATCTGCTGTAAATTAAAACTAGCTTAAAAAGGAAACCACCTGTACTAAACAGACACTGATAGCAAGTGAGAAGTAGCAACTGATTTATGGACTCTTTAATACTTTGTGGAACACCAGCGGCCCCCAGGCTAAGCATCAGGAAGATGTGATAGCACTGGGGATTCAAGAAACCTCAAGCCTTAATGCTGGCAGCATTCCCCAGTTACCAAGTGGCTGAAAGCCATTCACTTTAATCTGTACTCGGTTTCATGCTTGCAATTAACCAGCATCAAATGCAAAATACAGCACTTTGCACAGCACTTCAAACATGCATATTCTCAACTCCTATTCTAGTTTTAGAGTGATAGCTCTGTACAGCTCAAGGAAGAAAAAGAACCTTTCGAAACAAAGCACTATTACTAATTATAACTCAAAGATTTAATTAAATCAGCTGCAGAAAATGTATCCTTCAATATTTCATATTGTGGTACATTATAAAAATTGTTTTAGTTTATACTTTAAGGTAGGTGACTTCAAGTTAGGATATTTTTTGCAAAATACAATAATTAAATCTGGATAAAATTCAATACAGCATGCATAAAATTAAGCAGAATGCAACAGCAACACTCAAAGTAAGGAGAAGGCTAAAACTTTTTTTTCCCCGTTTTGCGTTACTTTTCTGCATGTGGCCCCAGGTTCTAGAAGTTAGGAAGAAGCCAGAGAGAATCTGCTAGGGATAGGAAAAAAAAAGCCATACTAAGTGAAAGAACTCATTTTGAAAAGCAAGAGGTGCTGCAGTATACCCAGCACGTTAACACAGGCAGTTGGGCACAGGCTTCCTCACACGCATACAGCTGTGTAAACATTGAGTACTGAACAAGTGCAGCAGCCTTTGAAGTGATGTGTTTTAGAAACAGCATTTGTAGTAATTTGAACAGGAAGGACCCAATTTCCCCTTAAATTTGTTTTTAGCAACTACTTACTTCATCTAACGTTCTGTCTTCCAAAGCTGTTAAATCTATCATAGGGTTTTTCACTCCTTGAGACACCATTGCTTTTAACCCTGTATGGGAGCAGCAGAAAAGAAAAACCACCACAAATGTGTGGGATTATCAGATTGTTATTTAACCTTTAAAAATCAATATGCTCAAATATCACCGATTAAATCTTTCAACCCTTTATAAAGTTCCCTTTAAAATAAGCAATAAACTTGGAAAATTGTTGTAAGAGACCAGCCTCCTAATTACAGCAGCTCTCATCAACTTCTGCTCATCACTGTACGCTGTTCTGTATTAAAATGGAGGACACTTTAGTATCAGTTGTTAGTAGAAACTTTTCTCTTTGAATTCTGGCACCGTATTGCTTTGGGTAGAATGGTCACTTAAGATAGCTTTTCCTTGTGAAAGGTTGTGGATTCCTAGTAGAATCCATATCCTGTCAGAATTCTAACACATGCTAAGGAATGGCATTAAGTGATCTTACCTCTTCATATGTCTGTATGATTAAGTAACTTTACAGATTAGATATCATCTGACTTAAGTTTCTCTTAAAAAGGTGGACAGAATAGGGACGGCAACTCCTCTGGAAAATATGGGACAGGATCCACATTTTTCTGTTGCTAATCACTCCATTTATTGTAAAAGCTGTACCGGCTGTAAGTTGTGCACAACCACAAAAGGAAGGTTTATGTACACCGATTTATTCCGTAGTAACTGATGGCTGAGCATAATTGAACTGTCACGATGGTAAGTTACTGGAATTTATCACTAATTTATTGTTGCATGGGCTGTGATAAAGGGTATGTCTTGCACTAGCACATCCCCATTTATTTCGAGGAATGCATTTGTAGTCAGGCTAAGAATAGCAAAGCTACAGACAATTTCCAGTCATGATCTCTGCCTCTCCCTTCAACAAGATGTCAATGGACATAAGAAAACACAGACTTCACCTTTGCAAGGTTTACTGGCTGTTCATCTTGCTCTGTGCTCTGTAAGACTGCTAACAGCCTACTGCAGCAACCGAGTCCCAAAGCTTACCTTTCTCATCCAGTTTGGCACATTCAGCAAAGAGGTCTTTTGAGCCTGTGTTGAGTCTGTCCCGGTGGAAATAATGAGACTGAAAAAATCGTGTCCAGAATTCCCTTTCTGTCATGTTATGTGGAACATTTTCTGCATATTTCATTTTCACTGTGAACAAACAAGTAATGATTACAAGGTGTTCTGCAAATCTTCATACAGCGTTTTATTTTAGTATTTTCTTACTTGCTTCCTAGCTTTCTGTCTGGTGCTATCGTCATTCATGCCAGTTAAGTGTAAGGGAATGCAGAGGTTAAACACCAGCTAATGGGTACTCCTCTATGCTCTGCTATGCTACCTAATGCTCTGAAAAGAAATGCCTATCACTAATTTGAATACTCCAATTTAAACACTCACACAAGAAGTCTTATTTGACAGACTTTTAGTTATTCTCAAGATAGATCTAGCATTTTTAACCTACTGCCCAAATGAACCAGTGTCAGTGTCCAGTGTATTGGAAGGGAAGGGTGGAAATCACTCTTCCCCTCCAAAGAATTGAAATCCACAATACTCTGTACTGAGAGCCAAATCTCCACTTACAATTAAAAAGAAAAGTAGGTGGACAAATTAAAATCCTGTTGAAATGAAAACTCAATTTCATTAGTTGAAACGTATTTTAGCACATGCTTCTTCCCATCTCTCCTCAAATTAAGGAAACTTGGTAGGGAAAAATCATCCAGTTCTTTATACTTCAAGGCTTTGACTTCCTGCAGTAAAGTGGTAATAAACAAATCTCACGTGAATGTATTTGTAAAGCAATGCACTACTCTTACCTGCAGGATATGTTCGAAATATGGATTCAATGATATCTGAAGTCAAATTGTACCTCAGACCATTGCAGCCATCTGTTTGAGGTCGTACGTCAGCCTAAGAAAAAGCACATGGGGAGGAGAAACAGCTTAAGTCTGAGTATCTTCTGTAAGAGGAGAAGGAAAAGAAAATACTGGCATTCTGCAGTCAAATTCTGCTGCAGATAAATAATCTTCTTCCTACAATAATCCATAGCATATTTGATCATAAATAGATGTTTACAGAACACAAAACGAAAGTGTGCATTAATTACTTTATTATACTTACTACCTAAGGGATGATTCAAGGAGACTAAATTTTAAAGATGAAAGCAAGAACAATCGAGAGGTAGTTAGTTTAATATATCCAAGTAAAAATAGGCATATGTACTGTGTATGCCTAATCTTTTGGTGTTTACTCAACAATTCATCTACTGAAGAATCAGTAATATTTTATGGCTGTTATTCCTCTTCTTATATATTAAAAGCATCTCAGTACAAATGATAAATAACACTGAACTTGAAAACTGCCTTAGCTAGAACCTGCAACTTGGAGTTACCTCTTTAGGAATTTGTGGAGCAAGTAAGCACAGTCACATTCTCTGTAAGAGGAGAAAGCAGGTGCCTACATATTCTGGCTTTTTTCCTTTTTTCAGCATGCTCAAATTCTTGTTATTTAGGGGGGAAAAGTGAGTGTATAGCAGGTATGTCAAAAAACAATTCCCATCTCCTCCTTTCCACCCAAACCTCTGCTGTGTGCACAAGTCATTACAGAGACAGAAATGGGATGTCAACAAATCGTTATCTGGATGAGTTCTGTGTAAAAACACTGGCCTGTGGGAGGAATGTGAAGACTGTATCTGGGTTATAGTGTCTTAAGTTGTATTGAGATTCTACATGGGGTAATGTAACTGTGAGCTGGGGGAAGAGATGGAACAAGCTTTCAGATGTACAAGTTGGGTCTCTGAGCAGCTGAAAGCATGTGCCAGATTAAATAAAAACACAAACATGGGGAAAAAATAAGACCGTTTGTGTGGGACTCTTTGCAGCTTCACTTATGCAGGTGGACACTGCAAGAGATGCTTTTTAATTTATTGCATTAAGACACCAATCTAGTGACTAAACTTGTCTTTTTTTCCTATTATATGAAAGATGGAACAGCAGTTTAAACAGCACCTGTGTGTTACATCTTTAAGTTAAATCTGAGCAAGCTAAATCAGTACAGTTTTGAGGTTGCAGATATGCACAATACCTTTACATTTTTTCCTCCTTGATGCTTGCAACAGTCCAACAGGCAGAGAAATGTTAAACTGAGGTACCAGGAAAGAACAATCAAGTATATAGGAATAAAGTACAGGAGCAGAACTCTCACTTCCCCATTTTGTTTGCTCTAAAATGCTTTCAATGAGAGGTTCAACATACCAGAAATGCTGCAGAGATGCCCACATCCTGCTTACTAGGTGCTGCAGAATTATCCCCTGCATTCAGGCTTAAACGGTTGGCCCAGAATTCTTCAGCACTGATTACTTGGCTCACAACAAGGTCTTTATAGAGCTGAAACAAAACAGGATCTTCTTGCAGCATTCTGGTAAAAGAATGTATTGAATAGAATTGAAATGCTGCAGGATAAATCGCTAGGATTTCCATAGCTAATATGAGTTCACAACAGGAACAGAAACTAACTTTTCTTTTAAAAATGCTGTGTTTCTTAACAAGAATGTGTAACCAACCAACCTCAATAATGATATTTGTCTCAAAAGAACAAAGAAAGGGTTCAAAATCTTTCAGGGGTAGCATTAAATGCTAGAAAAAGTAACGCCTAGGAAAGCATTAAGGTGGGATTAATGTCTTGTCCTTCAATATGGTGAAGCATGTGTCTTTGCATGCCCTGGACTGCAGTCTTCTGAACCGCAAAAGCAAAATTAATTTTCCTGAACTTGAATAACAAAGCTCATATGGTAGAAAAAGGGGATTGGGACACTGCCCAATTCTTGATTAAAATCGTAAAATTTGGTACCTACAGTTCTCTATTCTAGCACAAGAGTACAGATTACAAAGTATGCATGATACCTTAAGATGGCATCTTACTGTGAGGTCTTCTGGCTATTTCTGTTGGTGACATCACTTAACTTTCACGTGCAGCACAAGTGCTGCAGAAACATTCAGTATTGCTGCCTCCATCCACCAGGGGATAATATTTACAAAAGCTACAATCCAAATGACAACTACCATCCTTACTGTCCAAAATGCAAACAATGTATGGATCAGAAACTTCAGCTGATTCGTGTGCTTCTTTTCATGAAGCTGCATACCCAATGTGAAGCCCAGCAGATTATTTACCGGGATCCATGTATACGTATGGACAGTTAGGCAAAAACCTCAACAAGCTTAAGCATGTTTCTCAGGATATTGATTGTGAACAAAAAATAAACAATTTTTTTTATGAATACACAGAACATACTATGTAGACGTGGGAAGAATGGGGATAAATGACAATTTGGACTGAAGTCTGCAGCTGCTTTGAGGGTGAAGTAGGATGAGATAGAAATGGTAGCTTTCTAGGACAAAACGTGCCTGGTGTGTTTTCGCACTGTTACTCTTCCTATTCAATTTTTCTTCTTAGAAGTACAGATTAGTGACAATGACTACAAGTTAGAGCAGCAAACAGTAGTCTGTTCAATTTGAAATAGCTCATTAGATGTTGGAGTTTTCATACACGCCTCACCCCTTTCTATCAATAAATGGAGAAAGTGCCAAAGGGACTCGGAATGCAGAACCCTTCCAGAATAGGTTGAGACTTTGGGCCTCATCTGTTCCAAACTAAGCAGTAAAGTCCTATTACTGGACTTGGGATACAACTGTCAAATGCACAGACTGCATACAGAGACTCTGACTCTTCTGCTTCCACTTTTCTATAACTAGAAAAGCTTTTAATGCCAAAAGATAAAATACTATAAAGCTCCATTTAGGGGTGCAAGGACTCAGAGCTGAGGCTGTACAACTACTCACTATTATCACTGTCAGAGAAAAGGAAGGAGCAATAAAGAAACTGTTTGGTAATAGTGCCAAAGCAGTTTGCACTGCTGTAGATGCTGACTGTCCCAGCAGTACTGAAAACAACAAAATAACTCATATCTATTAGAGCTACTACACAAGGGCTCTTGCCTGTGTAAAGATTTCCCTTTGTGAAGATTTAATCTGCCTGGTGAAGCAATATTCCTATTTTCTAGAAAAAAAAAAATCCAAAACATTTAACTTTGCTGTAGCTTTGAACTAACCTGTCTTTGAAAATGGAAGCTAGCGGGTGGAGGATTCACATGAGATGCCAGTGAAACTCATCTGGAGTGGCAGAGAGAAGTATGTCCTATGCCCACAAGGACCAGTTTGAAATGAGCATTTCAAAGGTATCTTAAAAGCCTTTCTGGGAAAATGATTTGGTTCCTGAAACTCTTTTCTTCAAATTTATTTTAGAATAAACATCCTGTATGCCAAATAATAAACTACTGCATATCAGCTGAGATGCATGAAAAAAACAACAACAAAAACAACAATTTAGTGGAGTTCACAAGATACCAGGACAGAAGATTCATCCGGGCAGGCAGGGAGGAAGGAGTGATTAGGGTACGCAGGGAGGGTGGGGGCTAGGGGGGAAGGAAGGCAACAAATTCTGGTGAAAAAAAAGTGCTTAAGTGCTTGCAGCTTATTAAACTGGTAAGTATGTACTCAGGAATGCTAAAGAGACAGACTGCCACTTGGGTGCTTTTACCTCATTCAGGTACGAAAGGCTGATTGCCTTCACACCTTGAGAACGTGCCATTGAGAATGCAGGGACAGTCTCAACATGTTACAGTTATATAAACCCTGAGGACTGAAACTGAAAGTGGAAAGATCTTCACCAACGCAACATCACTAACGATGCTGCAATACAACTTTACAGCTGATGGCAGAAACACACTATGGTTAAATAAGAACTAAGAAATAAGAAAAGCAGCTTTCAGATTCCCTTTACCTGTTCTTCTCCTCAAGTTCTTTATTAGCTTTCCTCTTGAATTTGGGCAAGAGTTGTTGAAGAAGGTCCTTTACCGCATCTCGCTCCTTCACTGCTGTGCTTTCGTTGGAGAAGTGAAAGTTGGTTGTGTCCCCTGCATGCAATACTAGCTGAAGCTGAATTTTAGCTTTACCTTCTGGACTGATTTTCTGGCCTAGATTGCACAGAGAGTATTAATTAGCAAAAGACAGCAAGCTTATAGTAGAAAGTCTCTTCCCTAGAGTATTTGGTTATAAGCAAATATCCACATCCTCCAATTAAATATCATTACTGTGTGTGTGAACTCCAGCCATGCAAGTAGAACATCGTCTTCCCCTTAAATTAGTATCATTGCTGCACAGTCAGCCCAAAACATGGGACATTGCCACCAGCAGCCCATCGCTCAGTATCCTTCCACCAAACCTCAGGAGCCTAGATTCATCTCTGCATTCTCTACATTCTCTGCTGGGTAAGCCAGTGACCTGGAGGCTTCAAGCTGGTACAAGTCCAGGCTGCTGCTACTGAGAGGTGACAGCCTCATGTCCCCTCTCCACCCCTTCCTGCTGCCTCTCTTGTCCTGGTGTTAATGTTTGTACAGTAACCAAAACCAAAGAAGTGATCCACTGAGAAGCATCCCCTTTTGTTTTTCCAGCTGGATCAATTTCCACAGAAGAACAGTACTAAGAAATCAGGGTGGGGTAACAGGATGCTGACAGCAAAAGCATGCTGGTTTCAAGTGGTTTGCTAAGCAGTTAGCCACAGGTATTCCTAAAAGGTGATCCCAATGCCTCCAAGGTGCTGCTACACCCTAATGACTCATAAGGAAAACTGGACTTCTGCTTCCTTTTCTGTAACTAGAGGGAGAAGAGGCTGGAACAACTGTGCTTATGGATCGTAAACAACTGCATTTATGGATACTGCCTTCAACAGAGCACTGCGAACAGCACTGACCTAACTTCCAATCTTGTGCCCTTTCTGTAGTGCAACTAGGAGAATGGAACTGAGTGTCACCACTGAACAAATGCCCCCCTCCCTCCATCCCATTTTTCTTTTTTGGATTGTAAAAAGACATAAAAAAACACCTTTCATTTAAGTCATAAGGACTTCTTTGCCTGCACGCTTCAACATCTAATATATAAGCTACTTACACATAAGCTAAATAGCTGGATAAAGCCTTCACAAAACTGAACATAATGAGTGAACAGACTATTTAACTTATCACAAGTGTATTTCAGAAAACAGCAACTTAGACTTGATTTACTGCATCCACTTTTGTTCATGCTGCAGTACCTGCATATTACTTCTGACAGCAGTGCTCACTAAGGCTGAACCAAGCGATGCACACAACATGCTTCATTCCTTTTTTGGCATTGCAACACATGGAACATTCGTAATAATTGGAGCCAGAAAAACAGCATATAGACATTTACTGTTCAGTTGTGACTTGCAAGAACTGTGCAGCAGCAAATGCTTCTTTGGTAAATTACTGTCAGGCCAAATTACAGATGCTAGCACTTCTGAAGTTATGGTCAGCTGGGTGAAAATATAAGCCACGTTCATTTTATAAGCAGATTGGAACAGCCTTAGACACATAGCTTAAAAGACTTAATAGACCAGCTTAATAGTTTCTGTGTTAGGTTTGAAAATCCTATACTCTTCCTCAACCATCCTTCCACCCTTCCCTCCACAAGCATATGGCATAGATGATTTGCAGAGTATAGAAGGTCTGCTTGTGTTGAGGGACATGGTCCAGTGGGAGCTATTGGTTATAGGTGAACGGTTGGACTGGATGATCTTTTAGGTCTTTTCCAACCTTGGTGATTCTATGATTCTATGCTGTCACATCCTTAACAAACCAATAATCATTCACTATGGTCCTGATCACTGCTGCTTTATAGAACAACCCAGCCAAAGCTCCAGATCCTTGCAACCTTCCCAAACAACATATCAGTCCTTTAAGGCAAAATGCTTTGGGTTGTATGTCAACATTTCTTGAAATACTACTCACTGAAGTACCTACTGAAATAGGGAATGTCTTCACTTACATTTTATGTCTGCATACATGTGGCTGACTGTGAAGCGGTCTTTGCCTTCGGGTGCCCACGCTATCCTCTCAGCCATAAGGTACAGAGCTCCATCCTGCTTCTTCTGGCGGACCTTCTTTACAATCAGTAACACTTCTTCTGATGACGTTGCCATCGTGGCTACAAGGAGCTACCAAAACATACAGTAGAACTAATTATTATCATTATTTGCTGTAATTCTTTCACTTTTCTTGTCAAGGCACTATGGCTTGTATGTACTTGTTAATACCCACATCATTTTTGAACCATTCCAGACAGACACGCTCCCCACTGACAACACAATTAGCAAATCTATTTTAACAGAATACTGCCAGCTATTTAAATAATTCATGTAATTACATAGCTGACACTGCTTGTGCTCCAATAAAAGACCCCCCAAACCTTAAAATGATAACCAAGTTTTAATATTTCTTTACTATTCTTTGCAGATCAGGAAGAAAAAAAAACCAAAGCTATGCAGAAACACAAACTGCAGATCTCCTCCGGCATTTGGCAGCGATTCCCTCAGCATGAGCAGCAGATGCTAAATCATTTCAGAAGAGGGAGGGATACAAGGTATGTGAAAAATCATGGATTTTCAGTTCTCTGCACTAAAGATAGCGCAGCTGGGTGACAGCCCTGCTCTTACTGCAGTGCTTTTTGCTGAGGGCTTCAACAATATTCTGTACATTTAATGTCGGCTGGGCAGTTCCCTACCCCTCTCCTCCTGAACACCAAGGGATAAAATGCTGTATCTGCTTCAAAAGAATGGGATTTTTCACCTGTCTCACATCCAGAAGCCTTTTAATACTTGCTGTAACATTTCCAGCAGTCATTATCCCTCGCTCTTTACAGCTTCACCCTACAGCTTCAAATTTCTCAAGAGAATGAGTGCACCATAGGTATGTCCAGCAGATTCTATCAACATATTGTTGCACGCCCATCAAAAAATGACATCTTTGTTGAAAATGTTTTGTCTGTCCAATTAACATATTTTGTACACCATGAACTTTCCTGCTGAAACACAGAACAGTATTTTCAAAAGCCAGTATGTTTTGTGGGTTTTAAGAGTACCTCTCGTATTTGCTGGTGCCTGCATTGTACAGCACGTACAGCTTATCACACCAATATTACCTAGCACAGAATGATGCCTCTGAACATTTAAAATCAGAGGTGGGGGCATGCGGGGTTTTTATTTTTGAGATTTGGCTCTGACAGTTCGTATAGCAGCACAGCATTCTCCTCAGTACTGCAAGCCCATCATCAGAACGTGTTACGTAAAATAGCGTATGGAAAGCTTTTGTGGTGAATGGATCCTGCACTTCAGTTTCACCCCTCTGTGGCATCTATCAGTTGAAGCCTCACCCAACACTTCAACAGTGCAGATCTGACTGTGGGGGTTCCCATCCACACCACTGCAGCAGCAACCACAACAGGCCGTGCCACGCTGAGCAGCCCTGCCAATGCTGCTTTCTCAAGGAAAACCACATGGCATCATTTCACAACAGCTTCTCAGCACAATCCATTACAGTCTCCCCAACAGCACTATTATCCTTCAGTGTTATTCGTGCTCCCGTTTTATGCAGAATTTTCTATCGTGGTCTCTGGTCTCCCATCAGCACTTCATCCTTACCAGAAAGAGACAGCTGCCCACATGTTCCAACAGACCAGAAACCTCCATATATGCAAGACTGAGGATTTTCACTTCTTTCTGCCTTTACTTTGCAGTCCTTCAAGGATGTTATTATCAAATGCAAAAGAGACAAAGCCACAGAATGCAAAGGAATTTAAACTGCACAGAACAGAAAGAGAAGCATTTGGGGCTCACTGTGCTGAGTGCCTTGCTTTTGTACTGTGCAATTTCACCCACCTACAAGCAGCCTTTTTGCTGCGCCACGGAGCAACCAGCAGCAGTTTCTCGCTGATAGCCGCAGTGCTGCCAGCACCATGCCTGCAGCATGCAGGCAGTGAGCACAGATCCCACAAGTGGCTCCTTCTGCCTGCTGGGAGGGCATGGAGGGCATACACTCATACTTATCATTGTCATGCTCTCTTTCTCATGCAGCAACTAATAGTGGCAGCAGGATCATAAAACTCACAAGCACAGCCAGCATCACACAAAATGCAGAAAGCCACCAGCTGTCTTTTGAACAATGTATCAGTAAAAAAAAAAAAAGGAACAATAATCAGGATTTAGTGAAGCTACCATCTTTCACTAACACAAACAAGATGGCTTCTCTTGTTACAAGAAGTACCAGTACAATTCTAAAATAGAATCTCACCCAGCTGTGAGAGCAGCACGAGGACACTCCTAGCTGCTGCTGAGAGGAAGGCCATGTCCTCACATAGCACGCTGTCTTCTTTTCTTTATTCAGACCTTAGGTACATTGTGGAGGTTAAAGCCCTCAGTGAGCTGCTCCTGCCTGCCTGCCTCATCATCATCACATCTGTGCTTGATCACTGTTCTGGAGCTTCCGGCAATTGGTGCTGCAGTTCGTGGCAGTGCTGCTCCAAGAAGCAAGGACTGCAATGTGCACAGGAGAAATTCTGCTATTTTGCAGCTCTAATAGCAATTTTAGTCTGCTGCTGAAGACAGCAGCATTGAAGTCATTCAACTGCGAATTTCAGAAGAGATGTTTCTTTGGTTTAAAGCATCTTCCTGAATAGGATAACCAGACACAGGTTATTCCAAGTTCTCCAGTGACAGAATTTTTAAAGTGCTGGTTAACGGCTGGGAAGATCACAGGGATCAGGCAGCAGGCCTAATGCCCGGCTCCTATTTGTCATCGTGCCTGTCTGGGCTGGCACTGTTGGCTGCAGCCTGCAACGGGCAGGGTCTGTGCCGGAGCAAAGTACGGGGTGCTGGCTGCTGACCACCTACAGCCACTCCTCCCCAACTCTGGAAGGAGACCACCTGGAAACGCCATCACATTCCAACAGCGAGCTTTCCTCTAACACACAGCCTCTCCCTAACCACTGCTGCATCTCACAGCTCTCTTCTGAGAGCTCTCCAGTACCGCCGTCGCGCTCGGGTTCTGAGCAGGAATAAAAGCAACCCTCAGGGCTGTCACTGGCCCCGCTGGGGATGTGCTTGGAGTGGTAATCAGCCGGGGCAGGCCTGAGGTCGGCCCCGCTACCGCGATCAGCTCCCTCAGGGCCGGTACCTGGCGGTGCCGAGGGCCCATGCCGCGCCGCAGACGCGAGGCCGGGGAGTCGGGAGGCCGGAGTCGCGGTCACGTAGGCCGGGCTCTCTGCGGGGCATCAACACGGTGGCTCTGCCGCAGGGCCCGGCCCACAGCACCAGGAGCGCCGTGCCAGGGGGCTCCGGGCCGGGCCGCCTTTGTGCAGGGGCTGCCGCGGCGCCGGGCCCGGCCCGAGCGGAGAAGGCAGCCAAGGGAGCCCCGGGACGGACGGGCCATAGGCCACGGCGCAACCCGCCGGGCCGGGCTCGCCGCCCACGGATCTCCAGGCGTTATCCCCAGTAAGGGCTGCTCGGGGCCCGGGGCGGCGCGGCGGATCGGCCTCGCTACCCTCACCGGCACCCGCAGTGCCCGCCGCCGCCTCTCGCGCGCCACTTACCGTGGGGCGGGAGCTGCTCCGGGCGGACGGGCGGGCGCTGCGGGCCGCGGGAGGCCGGGCCGGGCCCGGGGCGGTGCGGGCGCTAAGGGGGTCGGGCCGCCGCCGCCGCCGCTGGGGCCATGGGGCGGGCAGGGGCGGACACGTGACCGGAACGGGCCGCGAGGCACCGGCAGGGCGGGGGAGATCGCGTCACGTGACGAGGACGCAGGCCGCCGATGCGTGTCCTCCGCGATCACGTGGCCGCTCCCCCCTCCCCCGCCGCCGGCCCCCCTTCACGCTCACGTGACGGCCCCTCCCCCGCCGCCATGACAGTGAGGCGGAGGGGGGAGCACCCGGGGGCTCGGCCGCGCCGCCGCCCCCCCGCCCCATCCCGCCGCGCCCGCCTCTCCCCCCCTTGCCGCCGTCACCCGGCCCCGCCGTTCGCGGGCGTCGCTCGTCCCCCGCCGTGGGGCCCGACGGTTCCGCCGCTCCGCTCCCAGGTCGGCGCCGCCGCGCTGCGGGGGAGGGGCCTCCCCTCGGCATCGGCCCGCGGCGGGAGGGGGCGCCGCGCGTCAGCGTCACGTGGCCGGGCCAGGCGGGCGCGCGTGACGCAGCTTCCTGCCGCGCGCCCAGCGTGACGCAGCGGGCGGCGGCCCAGAGCGGCTCGCCCCGCCCCGCCCCCTCCGCGGGTCACGTGCCGCGAGGCGGTGGCCGCTGGCCGCTGGCGTGCGGCGGCGCGTGTTTGCGGGGCGCCTGGCAGTGCGCCGCTGTAACCCTGCGCACTATGGCCTCGGTGCCGGCCGCACCCACGGTACTGCCCGTAGCCGTGCCGGAGTCCTATAGCCATGTGCTGGCGGAGCTGGAGTGCTTAGACCCGCTGCTGTCTGCGCTGCGGCTGGATTCCGCTCGGCTGAAGGTGTGTGGTGAGCGGTTTGCTTTTAGTTTTAGTTAATTTGCGTGTTTCCTTGCGTGGATTGTTGTTTTAACTAAGCTCCACGCGTAATCCCTTTCGGTGTGTGCCATGCTCCCGTGTGTGGGTGCTGCAGCAGATGAGGAAGTGAAGGCAGAGCCCTGCTCCGAGCGTGTGTTTGCTGTGTCCTCGTAGGGCAAAAACATGTCTTCTGCTCGGTCCTGTCTTTTGCAGTTCCGTTAAGTCTCTAAGAACACCATTTTAATTCCCTGTTGGCTGTGCTGACAGCGTTTCACGAGCAGCATGCAAAGTTGGCGAGTGGTGGACTCTGAAAATAGAACTATAATAGAAACAAAAGGTGCCTCTTGTAGATCTTGCTCAGGTTCTGCGTTGTGCCCTTGTCTCTTGCAGTGCACGTGCATCACTGTGTCAAAGAAGTGGCTTGCTCTCGGCACCTCAGGAGGAGGGCTGAACCTTATCCAGAAAGATGGTTGGAAGCAGAGGCTTTTCCTTACTCATAAGGTATGGGGCCCTGGGCAGCCTGGTCTAGTATTTAATGCGGAGGCCCTGCATGAGGCAGGGGGGTTGGAGACTCATGATCCTTGAGGTCCCTTCCAACCCAAGCCATCCTGTGATACTGTGATTCTGTAACGTCCTGCACCAAATCAACCTGGGGAAACAGGCCTGGGGGAGGTGTGCTTTCATCTTGTTGAGCTGTCTAAATGAGGTGAGATTTCATAGTGCTGCGTTGTGAAAAAGGCTGTGGTGCTGAGGTGTTGGCACAGTGTGCGGTGTAATGGTTCGCATGGAGTTTGAAAGAGGTGGTTTGAGGGGCAGACTAGGTCCAGTTAACAGCAGCCTCAAAGTCACCTGAATATATAAGAGTTAAACCATTCAGTGTGACACCAGAGCAGCTGACATGTAGATAACAGTGCTGTTTGGGTACCAAAATGTTAACTCTCTGGGTAAGTAAAGAAAAAGCAAGCTAGCATGCTTTTTTTATTTTCTGAAAGAAGTCGAGAAAGGGGGATTGCAATTTCTACATCTGGATTCTGTTTTCTGGGTTGCCCACTCTGTAACATGGATGCAGTCATCTTTTAAGATAAAGAACATCTTGCTTAATTCTGGCAAAGCAATGCCTGCACGTACAGAAAGGGGCTGCTTTTAAGTTCCACGTTAGAGGATGATATATGGTTGGTTTTAGAGAAAGCTCGCTGTGTGCAGACAAAATCCAAACAAAAGCACCTGCACCACGCCAGAGCAGTAGCAGCTGTTGGCTTTAATCTGTGTTATTTCATAGAGATAAAAGTTGTGGCCTGGTGGAGGTAGTACAAGAACATCTCTCGTTTGCACTCACTGCTGTATTTGCTTTCAGGAGGGTGCCATTTCCCGAGTTGCATGTTGTCTACACGATGAAGACTATGTTGCTGTTGCCACCAGGTGAGCAATATACTTACAAACCTGAATGCTGGCTCAGTGTTGTGAAGTAACTTCTAAATTTCAGATTAATGTCTGTTGAGAACTTGAAGGGAGAGGGGGCAAGGTAGGAAACTAACTGGTAGATGCCTCAGCAGAATAAATCTCAAGAGTAATTATTTTAAGAAGAAATTGTTCTTCTGTAACAGAGTACCTATTTGAGAGCTAATACACATAAAGATATGATGGTAAACGTTCTTCTGAGTCCATTCAGCCTTGGAAGAAAGATCTTTATTGACTTTACTGACTTGTCACAGTGAAATTTGTAGCTGGTACCATTTACATTGTTTAAAATGTGAATATGCACTTTTCCTCAAGCTTAGCATCCTTGTTGGCAATGCCAGTCAGTGTAAGAGGAGCCAACCAGAGCTGCTACTGCTGGGTAGCACAAGGAAGGACATTTCACTTCTTGAGAGGGTGCAGTCTCTAATGTAGCCAGATCTGAGGGGGACTTCTTGTATAGGTTTCCCATTTATTTGGTGTAAGACATTTTTATCACTGATAAAGTGCTGAATGCCTGCCTCTACAAGATTTATTCTCCACTTGTGTTTTCTTTTAAATTTTACAGCCAGGGGCTTGTGGTAGTGTGGGAGCTGAATCAGGAACGTCGTGGGAAGCCAGAACGGATATATGTTTCCTCTGAACATAAGGGCAGAAAAGTTACAGCTCTGTGTTGGGATACAGCTGCCCTCCGTGTTTTCGTAGGAGATCATGTTGGGAAAGTATCAGCCATCAAAATTAACACATCCAAACAAGGGAAGGTAAAGCATTGCTTACTTTCTTTGAGATTGAGAGGTTCCTGAGGACGTGGGTGAGTTTCTTTGTTTAAGTGATATAGAACTGAGGAAAACTTCCAGTAGCTTTGTCTGCTGGGATGAAAAACAGTCTCATAACAGTGGAAGTGATGACTTGTAAATTTGCTACCCTTGCTTTAGCCAAGTTTGTAACTCAGCAGAAAATGATTTTGAATCTAGAGCATTAAAAACTCTGTATGATTTAGCAATACAAAGAAACAGTGGGTTCCAGCAGGCTTTTCCAGAAGTTCCGGCCTAAGTTTGTCCAGACTTCAGGGATTGAGCAAATCCACAGTGTGTCTTAAATGAGTTTGCTATGATCAAGGTAGAGCACGGTCTTGTAGAATTCCCTTCAGGTAGGATAGAGCAACATCTGGTTGTGCCTATTAAGACTGCTGAGTCTCAAGTGTAATGCAGTTCGTTCAGAACAAGGAGTCTATGCATTCCAAACAAAGATGACAGCATGTAGCTGTCAGATATGGAGACAGTCCACTAGAAAATGGGAGAGCAATTCCCAGTAGTTTCTTATGAATGAGAATGCTGTCTATGACTTTGTTCTGCCACCCATGCAAACTGGGAGACTTGTGTAACATGGAGCATTTGGATAGTTTGGTGCAGAGTAATTTTAAAAAAAAAAATAAAAAAATGTGTGTTGATATGAACCACCAAAATCTGGTGGAAGTTGTTTGTTCTTGTTTTGCATTCAGTAATCCCTTAGATGTCTCATAAGACTGTTAGCTGAAAGTACCCGTGAGCGGAATTGAAACAATTGACAGAAGTGCAGAAAGCTTACAGAGGAATAAAGAAACCTCTTAGTGTTACAAAAGCCATGCTCTTTTCATCAACAAATATCAGGATGCAATGGGATAAGATGATCTTTTTTTTCTGAAGACTTCAGTAATGATCTTGGGAAGAGGATAATTCGAACTTAGGTATCTCTGAGCAATAGAACCTTGTTCTCTAAAAGGAGAGAAGAGAGGAACTGCACTGACTCACTTTGTCTTGTGCTTTCTGTTCATAGTATACATGAGCCTTTTCTGAATTTTGCAATTTTTAACCTCAAATAGTCTTTACACTAAACTGATGCTCAATCTGTTGTTTTTTCTTTTTGTTTTTTCTTTTTTTAATCACAGGCTGCTGCTACTTTTGTGATGTTTCCTGTTCAGATTATAACCACCGTAGATTCTCGGGTTGTTCAACTGGATTATTTGGATGGAAGATTGCTCATATCTTCACTTACCCGCACTTATTTATGTGATACTGAGAGGCAAGTTATTTTTTCTTTGTAAAATATTGAGATCTCCAGAGTCATGCAGGATTGCTACAGTTGGGAGGAGGTTCTGGAGATTATTTACTTTCACTTCCCTGCTTCAAGCACAGTTTAGTAGAACAGATTGCGTGAGACTGTT